TGATAACAGCTGAGTTTTTCCTGAGTTGTTGCTGTTGTTAATGTGTAAGACCACCTTATCTCCCTCAAGGGACTCAGGTTCTAGACTTATACATGAAAATACACAGAAATATGTTGACTAACATATTGACTAGGAGGAGGAGGAGGAGGAGGTGACAGACAGCCGTCTTTCTGGGATCCTGGTCTCAGAAGATTCCTGCACTGAAGAGGTTGCGTGGATTAGAAGATAATGTCCCCCATTCCTTCTGAGCCTAACCTTGCATCTGATTCATCCAGCATATTGACCATTTCAGATCAATTGTGTAATTTGACTCTGAGCCCCAGCATCCTTCACAGACTTTGAGAAAGGGGTTTAACTCAAATGAGACTGACCTGTAACAGCGTCGGTAGAGATGGGGCCCAGGCGCTTGCGTCCAGTGAATCCATAAAGGTTGAACTTGTATCTGCGGGATGAGGCCAGATTGGGGATGATAACCTCATGAAAGACTCCCTCCACTGAGATGGTCTGAGGCTTGCCGTTGGCATCTTTGTACTGGACCTGGAAGCTGTCAAAGCTCCCAGTGGGGACTGTCCATGAGAGGCGGACAGAGTCACTGGTGATGTCAGAAGCAGAGAGCTGCCCCAAACTGGGAGGAACTGGAGGTTCCTGTGGAGATGATGCTGGAAAGGGTCAGGAGAAAAACAGAGCATTAGAAAGAGGAAGAGTAAGGGAGAGCTGAACTGCGAAGTACAAACTGAGCATGCAAATGCAGGGGGAGAAGATTCTGGCATAATTTGGGGAAAATAGACCTTGAAATTTGGGAGTTGCTGAGATTTATAGTTCACCTACAATCAAAGAGCATTCTGAACCCCACCAACAATAGAATTGGGCCCAACTTCCCACACAGAACCCTCATGATCAACAGAAAATACTGTTTTCTAATGGTCTTTGGCAACCCCTCTGACACCTCCTTCAACCCCCCCCCCGAGGGGTCCAACCCCTAGGTTGAGAAACACTGGACTAGATGGTCTCTTCCAACGCTGTTATTCTATGATTCTATAAGATTCAGAACAAGGACTGTCTTCCTACAATGCAGCAAATGGAGGAAAGATCTGCAGAAATGAAATGAAGCTGACAGAAGTTTCCATTGTTACCTGTGACAGTGTCAGCAGAAATGGGGCCCACACGCTTGCGACCAGAGATTCCATAGAGGTTGAACTTGTATCTCCGGGAGGGAACCAGGTTAGGAACAGTGATTTCACGAGACTCCCCCTCCACTGGCAGTATTTGGGGCTTTCCTTCCCCATCTTTGTACTGGATTGAGAAGGAGTCAAAGCTACCAGTGGGCACTGTCCAGGACAGACGGACGGAGTTTCTAGTGACATCCGAAACAGAGAGATCCCCCAAAGTGGGCTGAGGTGGTGGCGGTGGCGGCGTTGTGGGCAATAGAGCTAAAAAAACAGCAAAACAAAATAAAGATAAATATATGGTCAAGAGAGGGAGTCATGATTTGCTGTCCAGACAAGACACTGGTGGCATTGACTTTTTTCTATACTCATGCGGTAATGGATCATCAAAGTGTTGCTAATCTCTCCTTCATGTTGATCATACAGACATTCTGTTCTGATGTGAGCAAGCTCAGAAAGAGCTTGGTGACGGTTAGCAATGGTGGTGGAGAAATGGAAAAGATGAGATGTGAGTTATCTCAGTGGAACAGACGCATGCCTTAGGACTTCATCACATGGGTTTAGCACAGCTGGTAAATCACCAGAAACTATAAAATCTATCAACTGAAAGGTTGCAAGTTTGAAGCCTCAGGACGGTGTGAGCAGCCAACTGTCAGCCCTGCTCACTGTTTACCTAAGCAGTTCGAAAACAGCTTTAGCTGTAATTAGAGAAATTAAGTACCACTAAAAAAGCAGGGGAGGTGTTTTACAACACCATAAAGAAAGAATATCAGAAAATGCTAGGCAACCAAAAGGAAGGAGGAAGTCCTGACAGCTCTTTCGTCATAGAGGATGGAGCGACAGCACCCCCTGTGGCTGGACTCGAGCCCAACCTTCCATGGCATCGAAACAACACACCTCCTTTCTGTTCTGTCTGTCTGTGTACTGTCTATACAAAGTGGCATTGAATGTTTGCCATGTATTTGTACTGTGATCCATCCTTAGTCCCCTTTGGGATGAAAAGGGCAGAATATAAATAAAGTATTATTATTATTATTATTATTATTATTATTATTTTACTGACACAAAAGCACAGTTTGTCACAGCAAACGAGATCTATATGATGGGGAAAAAAAATCAAAAAATCACAAGTTGAACACTTCCCAAGCGTCTAGGACTGTGTGATGTATTATTATTATTATTATTATTATTATTATTATTATTATTAGCTGATTGATGGAGCCCCATGCCACCCATCACACGATGCAGGCTCACTTTCAGCAGGGCTCCGTCGAAAGTCTCCTACAATGTGCCAGCACACCGGGGCCAAAATGAGGAGGGGGGAGCCACATGGTTATGTTCCCCCACGTGTGATGGGGAAGTGTTGCTCCTAGTGAGGCAGGACCACATAATATGATGAGGTCCTTAATCATCTGAATAATGACTCTGGGCTAAACCACAATTCGAACTAGGAGCCCCCGATGGCGCAATAGATTAAACCCTTGTGCCAGCAGAACTGCTGATTGAAAGGTTGGTGGTTCAAATCCGGAGAGCGGGGTGAGCTCCCATCTGTCAGCTCCAGCCCCTCATGCAGTGACATGAGAGAAGATTCCTACAGGATGGTAACACATCCAGGTGTCCCCGGGCAACGTCCCTGCAGATGGCCAATTCTCTCACACGAGAAGCAACTTGCAGTTTCTCAAGTCGTTCCTGGTACAAAAAAAATTCCAACTGAAACTAGGGATCACAACCCCTCTGGCACAAGACCCACCAGCTGCCAATTGAACAATTTAGAAAAGCTCAAAGGGTCATATTTGAGTCCCCAGAGGTAAAGATTTGGCCCCAATGCCAGAAGGCTCTCATCTCCCTCTAGATCAGTGCTTCTCAACCTGGGGTCCCCAGATGTTTTTGGCCTACAACTCCCAGAAATCCTAACAGCTGGTAAACTGGCTGGGATTTCTGGGAGTTGTAGGCCAAAAACATCTGAGGACTCCCAGGTTGAGAACCACTGTTCTAGATGTATTGACTAAGGACCACTTTGACCAGGGGCCACTTGAACAGGGACCACTTTGACCAGGGATGATTCTCCAACATTAGTACCAAAAGGGTTACGAATCAGTTTTTGGTCAACTTTAGATTCAGTTTGGGGTGCTGATTCAAAAAACTGCGCTGTATAGACCACATCAGCTCTACTTTCTGAAACAGAACATATGCCATGGTCAGCGACAGGGAAGGAGTGGCAGGTGGCACAAAAGGAGTGGAAATAAAATAAAATAAAGAGAAAGGAGGCTCGTGGACCAGATTTTTGTCCTCACAGCCCACTGGTGGTCCATAGCCCACAGGTTAAGAACCACTGTTCTAGATGGACTCTTGCTGACCTGTCTCTGCTTCGGTGGAGATGGGACCAAGACGTTTTCTGCCTGAGACACCATAGAGGTTGATCTGATATCTGTGAGAGGGAACCAGGTCGTGGAGATGGAGAGAACGCAGGTTCCCATCAACAGGGAGAGCTTGCGATTTGTTCTGAGCATCTCGGTACTGGATGATGAAAGAGTCAAAATTTCCTTCCTCAACAGTCCAGGAGAGATCGAGAGAATTTGACATAATGTTACTTGCTGTCAGCTGTCCCAGTCTGAGTGGGGGAGTGGGGTTCTCCATCAGTGGGGCTGAAACAGAGAAGAGCAGGAGTTGAATGCTCTCATTGTGCTGGAGAGAACTCCAAGGGATACTACTCAGCCATCTAGGCCCATGATGGCGAACCTATGACACGTGTGTCAGCACTGACACGCGTAGCCATTTTCGATGACACACAGCCGCATGCGGCCGCATACAGAGAAGATGGGGCCGCATCCCAAGAAGGACATTTCATCCTCGGCTCCTACACCAGCATTTTTTTATAATGCCGAGATATATGGCATTATAGAAAAAGCAGGTAACTTAAATAATTAGTTTTTGGTTTATTAAATACAGTTATATATTACAATAATATATTTTTGTTATTAAACTATAAATATCATGAAATTATGGGTTTTTCTCGAAGTGACACCCCACTCGAGTTATGCTCGGTGATATCTCTGGGATTATGATATATAACTCATCTAAAACACAACAAAATTCCACTGGATTGAAAGTAATGTTAAAGGCACTGGTCAATCATTGTTTCAGAGCTTACAATGCTAAGCATATTTGACTATTATGTGGAGACTCAGCCCTTGGAAAAGTTACAATTCAGGAAAAGTAACTTTTCTACCTTTCACAGGAGAGCACACTTTCAGAGTATAATACAACTTATAAAATATGTTTATAAGCATCCTCAATCTATACTACGGATCCAACAGCAGCTGCTTCATCTCTCCTAAGTCGAAATGTAGAGCTGGCTTTCCACATTTGCAGGTGTAACTTTTGCTGCAGATTTGATTATTCACAGATAATTCACAGATTTAATTAATAACGATTTCCCTGGGAATCTCTTGGTCCTCCACTGTGAGTCTATGATCACAGTTCAGGATGTATTCTGTAATTTGAAGGTGGTTCCCCCCCCCTTTTTTTTTTTTTGCACAGGAAACATGTTTTTCTGCATTGAAATGAAATTATGATTTTTGGGAAGGAACCTGCACAACCACCCACTTCTTTTGCACGGAGCATATCCCAAATTGCAACATTGTCATCTGTCCAGGATCCTTCGCAACATGGCTTCCTAACAGATGGAAACATCACTTTTGGTTTTGCTGTGAG